GGGCCAGGGGCATGGCCAGCAGGGGAGAAGTGCCCTGGGAGAGGGTTAGAAGGCAGAGGACTCGGGCAGCCACTGGGTTTGTCAAACAAGGTTTCATTAGAAGCTTCAGTGGGGCAGTTTCTGTAGAGGGGTAAGGAAAAATAATTGGTGGAGCAAGTCCTTGGGGCACTGAAGAAATCGGAATCAAAATTATGGATAGAAAAGGGAAGGATTCAAGGATGAGTGGAGCTGCAGATAAATTACTAGATAGACGGGATGCCTATGGAGAGACTGGCTGCCTGCTTGTTGCAATTTTCTGAGCAAAGCTGCCAGCACACTCGGGAGGCCACAGCTTTGGGGATTAAGAACACAAGCTTTGGGGCCAGACTGCTGAGGCTCAAATTCCAGCTCTTCCATTTCCCGGCTCTGTGATCTTTAGGCTTCAGAGTTCTCATCTGTCAATAGAGAGATAGAAACATGGATCTGCCACCTCCTACATTTCCTCCTTCCCCTCCCCACCTTACTGGATCTAGCCCACAACCCGGGCATGTGCCCTGACTGGGAATTGAACCGGAGACCTCTTGGTTCATAGGTCGATGCTCAACCACTGAACCACCCTGGCTGGGCAGGGACAATTCTTTCAATTAGAGAGAATCTATTTTCATTTATCTACTCAAGGAAGGGTTTTGGGGGGGTGGGGGGGAAGCGTGTGGAAGAAGTATGTATTCTTTATACAATTTCGTTGGGATAAAAGAGAGTGTTTCTGTTTGTCCGTTTGTTTTTGATCGAAAACCACTGCCTCTTGGTGAATGAATTTGGGATTGGCAATGTGGAGACGCGGACGTTGATCCTGCCCTAGCCAAAGCAGCGTGTGGTTTCGGCTGGGTCGCTTATTTTCTTTGGGTCTTAGGGTTTTCACTTGTGAAACGCATGGGATCTTAGACGATCCTTTCTACTCTAACACCCGCTTCTGGCTCTGTGAAGGCTGGCATTCTGCAGCATAGCTGCGCCACATCTTTGGAGGTTTGCGTGCGCCACCTTGTGGTAGAAACGGATAGTGCTGTCATTTGGCTCTGCGAGACTGAAGACCCAGGGACTCAGGCAGCTTTTATTTATGTACGAAAAAATCTCTCCAGAGACAGGGGGACCTATTCATGGTAAGAGTGCTCTTTTGTTAGAAGAAATTGAGGATGAGCTGGACATGGAGCAGTAGCCAGCCTCTTATCATGGCAACCAGAGTAACTCATCAACACATGTGAATAATTTATGACACACTCAGCCTATTGGAGAGGGGCCAATATTAGCCAAAACTTACTTGGAATCTGTTTACTTCAATTAGATTTTTCAGGCTTATCTCTTGCGTTTTCCTGTGTAGCCATAAAATTGCTCTCTGTGTGCTGTTTATGTCATTGCACCTTTGAACTGAAATAAAGTCAGGTTCACTCTACAATGAGCCACAACAGCTTTTATTTTTTTATTTTTTATTTTTTTAAATATATTTTTATTGATTAAGATATTACATATGTGTCCTTGTCCCCACGTTACCCTCTACCCCCCACGCCCCCCACCCCCGCTCATGCCCTCACCCCCCCGTTGTCCATGTCCATTGGTTAGGCCTATATGCTTGCATATAAGTCCTTTGGTTGATCTTTCCCCCTTACCCCCACCCTCCCCTACCTTCCCTCCAAGTCCCGACAGTCCAATCAATGCCTCTCCGTCTCTGGATCAGTCCTTGTTCATCAGCTTATGTTGTTCATTATATTCCACAAATGAGTGAGATCCTGTGGTATTTATCCGCTCTCAAGTTCCATCCATGCTGTGGCAAATGGTAAGAGTTCCTTTTTCTTCTTCCTCTTCTTAAAGAATACCTTTCAGCATTTCATATAATGCTGGTTTGGTGGTGATGAACTCCTTTAGCTTTTTCTTATCCGTGAAGCTCTTTATCTGACCTTCTATTCTGAATGATAGCTTTGCTGGATAAAGTAATCTTGGTTGCAGGTTCTTGCTATTCATCACTTTGAATATTTCTTGCCACTCTCTTCTGGCCTGCATGGTTTCTGTTGAGAAATCAGCTGACAGTCGTATGGGTACTCCCTTGTAGGTAACTGACTGTCTTTCTCTTGCTGCTTTTAAGATTCTCTCTTTATCTTTTGCTCTTGGCATTTTAATTATGATGTGTCTTGGTGTGGTCCTCCTTGGATTCCTTTTGTTTGGGGTTCTCTGCGCTTCCTGGACTTGTAAGTCCATTTCTTTCACCAGGTAGGGGAAGTTTTCTGTCATTATTTCTTCAAAAAGGTTTTCAATATCTTGCCCTCTCTCTCCTTCTGGTACCCCTATAATTCTGATGTTGGTACGCTTGAAGTTGTCCCAGAGGTTCCTTACACTATCTTCATATTTTTGGAATCTCTTTTCTTTTTTCTTTTTCGGTTGGGTATTTTTTGTTTCTTTGTATTTCAAATCTTTGACTTGATTCTTGGGATCCTCTTTTCTGCTGCTGGATCTTTGTAAATTATTCTTTATTTCAGTCAGTGTATGCTTAATTTCTAGTTGGTCCTTTTTCATGTCCTCCATGGTCTCCCTATACTTATTGAGGGATTCATTAAATTTATCGGCGGTTTCCATAAAATTCTTGAAAAACCTTATAACCGTGGCCTTAAACTCTATATCCAATCGTTTGCTTTCCTCCATTTCTGCCATTTGTGACCTGTTTCTTTGTCTCCGCATTTTGGTTGCTTCCCTGTGTTGATAGAGTGGCTTTGTGTGCTAGGTGTCCTGTAGGGCCCAGTAGCTCAGCCTCCCCAGTTACCTGAGGTGGACACTCTTGGTGCACCCCCTCGTGGGCTTTGTGCACAGTCTTGTTGTAGCTATGCCTTGGTTGTTGTAGGATCACTGGGAGGAATTGACCTCCAGGGCAATTGGCAGCGAGAATCAGCTGCCCTGATGATGCTCAGCTGTGTAGCAATGCAAGCCGCTGTGGGGCCTGGGCCTTCTCTTGGAAGCTCTGAGTCTATCTGGCCCGGCTGCGGTTAGGTAATTACAGGTTGCAAATGGCCGGGGCATTCATATGCAAAAGCCTCTGCCGCAGCCTGGGTGGGGCGGGGTCTCAAGGAATCAAAGGGCTGAGAAAGCAGCTATGGCGGAGCCTCAGCCCTGCCCTAAGGAGTCGCGAGTCCCAGTGTCCCGGCAACGGCTGCAAGCACCTCTGAGGGAAAGCCGCTCTCAAGCTCGCCCGCTGCCAGACAGTCCAGTATTTCCCCGTATGAGCCCTGGGTCCCCAGAGACTTCCCGGAACCGGATTTCAGAGCCGTCGGGAGCTTGTGTCTCCCTCCGGATTCAAAAAGACAGCCGCGTCCTCAGGTGCCAGACCCTTTCCGCGCGCGCGCGAGCCCCCGTACCTCTGCACTCCACCTCCGCAGCTCCTCCCGCTCGCAGTGTGCTTTTCTCTCCTTCTAGTTGTAGAATTTACACTCAGCCAGCCCTCCTGTAGCTCTGGATGATGTCCACCTTGTGTTTTTGATGCATTTATCGATTGTTGTGGGAAGCAGAAATTTCCCGGTGTTTATCTATGCCGCCATCTTAGTTTCTCGCCACAACAGCTTTTAACACTAAAGTATTTTTAAATGACTGACTAATAATGTTGGAGATCCAGGTAAAATTCAGAAGGTTATCATAACACAAGCTTCTGGGAATGGCCTTGGATTATGAATTTCCTTCCCATGAGCAAAGAGGGTGTCTGCAACAAAGGCTGCCAGGAAACAAATACAATAGTCCTATATAATAAAAGGGTAATATGCAAATAGGACAAACAGCATAACAACCGAACAAATAATCAAAGCATAATATGCTAATGATATGCTAAGGCTGCTCAACCACTCGCTATGATGTGCTCTGACCATCAGGGGGCAGATGCTCTGATCAGTAGGTTAGCTTGCTACTGGGGTCCAGGGACTGAGTGAGATGGGCCAGACAGCCCTGGAGCCCTCCCGCGGTTGTTCCCAAGCCAGTTGTGCACTGGTGGGGTCCCTCAGCCTGGCCTGCACCCTCTCACAATCTGGGACCCCTTGGGGGATGTTGGAGAGCCAATTTCCTGCAGGCCACTCCCCTTGGGAGGACGCCAGATGCAGGGTTCATGGCTGGCGAGCCCACAGCAGGCACAGTGGGGCTGGGATGAGTGGGAGCGGCAGGTAGAAGCAAGCTGCAGGCAGCATTGGACTGCAGGTTTTGGCCCGATCCTTGCAGGCCCAGAGGGACCTCACCCATGCATGGATTCATGCACCGGGCCTCTAGTAAAATGATAATAGAGCAGAAGAGAGAGGGAGTTTTTCCATCATTGTGCTAATCCTTGAACCCTTGAAGAATGAGATCCATGACTCCAGTTTTGTTTTGTTTTTTAAATATATTTTATTGATTTTTTACAGAGAGGAAGGGAAAGGGATAGAGAGTCAGAAACATCTATGAGAGAGAAACATCGATCAGCTGCCTCCTGCACACCCCCGACAGGGGATGTGCCCGTAACCAAGGTACATGCCCTTAACTGGAATCGAACCTGGGACCCTTCAGTCCGCAGGCCGACGCTCTATCCACTAAGCCAAACCCGTTCGGGCATGACTCCAGTTTTTAACTACACATACCTACTCCTTAGGTTAAACCCACTTTTTTTTTTTTTCCCCAGCAAAGCTTCAGACTAAAATTTTACCCTCCAAAGACCTAGTTCAAAAGCTCAGAAGAGCTCCAGTTCCTTTTATAAGTAGGGTCATTCATTGACTCCATGAAGAAATTTGTGGATTTAAAGCTATTGTACCCAAAATTTATTATGTGCTGATATCAAACCAATCACCTAGTTTTCTAATTCGATGCATCAATCTTATACTCCTTCCCTTGAACTTCTTGCCCCTCAGTCTCAGGTCTAACTGTTTAGAGCAAATGTCGTACAGTACACCATGAGGAATGTAAACTCTCTACTCCCGTTCTTAAAAGTTTATGACATTTATGCTCATTCATATTTCCTTCTCATTCTACAGTGAAAGGTGTGCACCCGCCACTTGTGTTCTGGATCCTACAACCTCTTACCTTCCGTACCAACTATCATTCTCTTCTCTATTTCCAACTTTCCCCCTGAGCATGCACTCATGTGTGTTTTGCATCTTTAAACAAAGAAGCAAGCTTGATCCTATTCTCCACTTTACTGTTTTGGGTGTCCTCTTCTGGTCCGAGCCAACCCTCTAACAGAACAGGTAATTTCTGCATCGCCATTCTCACATGTCATAGTTCCTCAAAGGACAGTACCTCACCCATCCTACTGAAACTCCTCCTCCAAAGTTACCGCTGCCAGGTTCAACGGATGCTTTTCAGGCGCCTCTTTCTGATTGAAGGTAATGATGCCAGAACAGCCAGACCCTCATGTTGTGATTTCCTTTCTGAACAACACTGAGATCATTCTTCCTGCTATTACATGTCTCAAAGGGTGATCTAATATCTCTAATGACATCACATGAATGGAGGTCAGAAGGCCAACTATGTGAGATGTCAAAATGTAGAATTTAGCTAAAAACAAACAAACAAAAAAACCCACACAACCCCACAAAGACCTCTTTGTAGCATTTTTATTTTATTTTTTTTACTTTATTTTTATATCTTTAAATTCTTTATTAGTTAAGGAATTACAAATGTGTCATCATCCCCCCCCCCCATTAGTCCCCTCCCCTCCCAGCCCCGCTTTGTAGCATTTACCACCACTGACTTTACCTTCATCGTTTAACTGTCTCCTCAACTGACACCACTCTCCCAGACTCTGCCCTTTCTGCTTTAGAACTTCCTCCTCAGGTCCCTTTTTAGGTGTGTGTGTGTGTGTGTGTGTGTGTGTGTGTGCACACGCGCGCGCGCACAAGCGTGCACTTGACATTTATTGAGTCCCCACTAAGGGCTGGGCACTGTAATAGTTTGCACACATTATCTCATTTAATTCTTAGAACTACTTTATAAAGTATGGAGACATGCTTTCCTAGGAGCCATTTCTCTGGGAATACTTGCCTGAGCCAAATGGAAACCATCTGGCCAAGTGAAATCATTGTCATGAGCTAATAACACTGTATTAGTTACATGCAGATTTAAAGGGCTAAGGTTTCTTGGAGGGGGAAAGGACTGTAATAATAAGCCGTTCTTTACTTATTTCAGCTTGAGGTCGATATTTTTAGACCAAATTAAAAGTGATCAGTTTTCTCTTTAAATACATTCTGCCCCTCAATATGGTTGCTATTTGCTTTTCAAAAGTTAATCCCACTATTTTTAATTCAGATAGTAAGATAATGATTATACAGATGTTAGCAAAAGTAGGCATCTTTCCAATCCCATGAGTAACTTTCCACCCAAAGTGGTTTTGGCAGAGGATTTTATTTTATATAGCAACACATTTTAGACAGCCTGGAAGCAGCCTGGATGACTCAATATAATAATACTAGTAACTATCAGTTATTAAGCATAGAACATATGCCCTGCTAAATATATATGTTAAGCATTTAATCTACAGATTATAAATAGTGTAAATATTACTTTTATTTTACAGATAAGGAAATTGAAGCCCAGAGGAGCTGAGTAACTTGTCCAAGGCATGATGGGTGTTAAGCAACAAAGTCGGACCCGAACTAAGGTCTGTCTGATGCCAAACACATAGTCACATGCTATGTGCAGTATAGGCAACTGTGCTTATTTTGTTTCTTGTCTCAAAACTGCCAGCGAGAGAAAATAAACCCTACTTGTATAAAATCATTCCTCAAAAGGAGCTTAGATAAAGTCAAATGCAAATTACCAAGCTACAATCCTTTTAAAAATGACTTACTATTCTGGAAAATTTTGTTTATAATGAGATAACTTGGGCTTAGTTGTTCGAGATAATACTATTTGCTTACTTAGACAACAGTTACTCATGGCCTGGCCTATCCAAGAGAATTTTAGAAATTCAAGTCTTTTTGTTCACTTTGGAGTCCTTCTCTTCTTTTGGTGATCTCTGTATTTGGTAGTTCCCAGGGTTCTTTTAAGCTAGAATTCTGAAAATGTATCAACTTAACAATACCAATCCATTAAAACAAAAGTAAAATACAAAATTCACCCAAAGAGTTTTCTTATAGTCAAAATTGTTTCAATTGTAGTTTGCATTAGTCTGGGCTCTTCAGTTATCATGAGATATATCCAACTCACATCAGCTTAAAGAAAAATAATTCCGAGCTCATGCAGTTGGGAAAGATTCTAAGCTGAGTTCTGGAATGAAAAGTTGAGCTGCAGGAACTGGGGTGTAGAGTCCTGAAACTGGGGTGCAATGCCATGAGGTCTGTCTTTATGGATGTCTGTCTTTCATCTCTGCCATCTCTGCTCAGCTTCTCTGCAGACAGGCATTCTCCACAGGATGGGAAAGGGGGTCCCTGGGAGCTTCAGCTACACTCCAAGCTAGGGAACCCTGGGGAGAGGTCCTGGACTGCCTCTTGCAGATCTCTTTCCATCACTGTGTGCAGTTACTGAGAATGGCCTGGCTGTGGAACATGCCCACCCCTGGATCCAGGGATAGGGGCGAGCCAGTGACTTGACAAAAAGGAATGGGCAAAATATGCTGAGCAGCCCAAAGCAGGAGTGATCACAGGCCATTGTATCCCTGTGAGGTATACCATGTTCCCCACCAGACTAAGTATTAGTAATTTAGCTAATCAGACATAATTCCTTTAGAATGGAATCTAAGTACTTTTGTACCAGTCAGATTAGATTACATGATGCTCCCAAAATAAACAAGATCTTGGTAGCTCAAGACATCGAAGATTTATTTCTCCCTCACATTATATGTTGGCGAGGTTCAGCTCTATGTCTCTTTCCATTGTATTTCACCTGCAACGGGGTGTACTGCCATACATTTCTGATGTTTACCACCAGAGTAGGGTCATACTCCACAAGTTATGGGCTCAGTTTTCCATGTGACTGTCCTAAATTCAGACACTGCATACACTTCAGGGGTCCCAAGGCCACCCACACTTTTGACCAAACTGGCAAGGGCCACAACCACTTTTTTTGTTTGTTAGTATATTTTTATTGATTTCAGTGAGGAAGGGAGAGGGAGAGAGAGAGAAACATCAATGATGAAAGAGAATCATTGATCGGCTGCCTCCTGTATGCCCCCCACTGGGGATGGAGCTGCAACCCCCGGCATGTGCCCTTGACCAAAATTGAACCCGGGAACCTTCAGGCTGATGCTGTATCCATTGAGCCAAACCGGTTAGGGCAGGCCACAACCACTTTTAAGAAAAATAAATCTGTATCACCAAAATGAAATTTTATTAGTTTGATCAATCTTTTCAAAACTCTCTACAAGTTTTCTTCTGGGTAGGAAATCAAAACTTTTACTAAGTGTCTACAGTATGGCAATTGTTTTATAGATGTTGTATTGTGTAATTATCATACTGATTATATAAGGTGTGTATTATTATCACCATTTTACAGATATGGAGTCTGAATCTCAAAGATAACATCACATAAAATTAATGATTGAACCAGATGCAAATCCAGATCTGTCAGATTGTAAAGTCTCTTCCTGGGAGCTTGTTAGATGCAGAATCCCAGGGCCCCTTCCCCCACCCTCACTCGCTGACTCACAACTGCATTTTAACAATATTCCCAGGTGATTAGTATGTACATTTAATATTTGGAATTAGGTTACACAGAGATTTCAGAAGCTATCTGAGGTTTTTTATCCCCTTCACACCCTGATTCCCCTGCTCTCACCTGAATCTGTTCAAATAACAAAAACAAACACCCCCCCCCCCTCAAATCTGCTTAGTTGCTGTCTCTCACCAGTACTTCACAAACAGTCTCATTTAAGCCTCATAACAACCCCATAGTGTCAATACAATTCCCCACCTCTATAGGCAAGGAAATGGAATCTTTGGGAGATTAGAGTGCTAATGTAGGAATTGGAAAAGATAAAAATAGTTCTTTTCAGGTGGAATTTAAGCTCAAAATGGTGTAAAATATTGCTGCTTTTAACTACTATTTAACAATCAAATAAAGCTGGTGATGGTAGCAATAAAGAATATTGTAACTATTTGTTGAGTGTTCACGATTTGCTAAGCACTATAAAAAGTGCTCTGCCTTATCTAAATATGTCAAACTATTATATAAATGAAATTTATTCTCTCTGACCAGAACAAGTAGAAAGTGTCGACAGAGTGTAAATAAATCTGGAGGCTCCACTAAAATGAAATGACAAAGTTTTATTCAAGGGGCTCAAGACTTGCAAATCTGTCAACACTACCAGGTAACATCCAGAATGTTCCAAAGGAAGGAGAAAATTTAAGAGTTTTTACAGGAAAAAGTACATTCTTGAGAAGACCCTGTACTGCGTTCCTAGCCTTTGGATTGGCCTGAAACTGTGCTCTTCCCGGTGGCAGGTGGTCTGGATAATGGACGTCAGGCAGCCTGGATTTGTGAACATTCTTTCCTCAGCTCTTCCGAGGGTTGTCTATAGCATTTACGTGTATCTCCAGGCAGTGATGCATAACTCAGAAGTTTAAGTCCTCAGACTAGTTAAAGTAAAATACAATTTATTCCTCATGTTCCAGCCCATTCTGATTTACATAATTTTGTTAGTGTATGATAACTCCATTATGTTTCTTCACTCTTTCCTCAAAAGAGAAATATCATGAAAGTATTTGGCTTGTTTATAAGAAACTAACAGCTTAAAAGAAGGAATGACAACTGTTGATTCACTATTGTCAGCAAGACCATCTGACCATCAGCCAGCGATTCTCAGTGAACTGTGGGGCGCCCTCTAAGGGACATTTGGAACCACAGAGGGGCTCATTTGGGTTGTCACAATGAATGGGAGGTACAACGGGCATTTGGTGTCTCGGGAGCAGGTATGCTAAATGTCCTGGCAAGTGTGGGATCCCAGCACAACCAAATACCATCCCTCCCCAACCAAATACCTTGGCCTATGGGGACCACGCTCTGACCAACTGACCTACCCATCCAGGGCTCTCCAGCCCCACTCTTTAAAAAAAAAATTAAAAAAAAAATATTTTATTGATTTCAGAGAGGAAGGAAGAGGGAGAGAGAGATAGAAACATCAATGATGAGATAGAATCATTGATTGGCTGCCTCCTGTATGCCCCCTACTGGGGATAGAGCCCGAAACCCAGGCATGTGACCTTGACTGGACTTGAACCTGGGACCCTTCAGTCGACAGGCCATCGCTCTACCCACTGAGTCAAACCAGCTAGGGCTCCAGCCCCACTTTTAACAGAATTTATATTAAGGGCTTGTTCAGCTATTAACAAAGAGACACTGTCTTTCCTTCTGTGTTTCTTCCCAGGGCGCATGTTCTGTCCATCAGCTGGCCCAAGGCTGGAGAAGGAGGGTTCTGCAGACAGGGGGTGCTGCAGAGAAGAGGGGCTGTCGCGGTGTGGTGGTGGTGGTGGTGGTGGGGGGCTGGAGAGGGGAAAGCTGAAGCTTGAGCACGTTCAGTAGCAGCAGTAGCGCCATCTATGAAGTGCTTACACTATGCTGAGCACTTTATTTACATTATTTTCTTTATTCAAAACAACTCTGAAAAATGGGTATCATTCCTGACGTGGAAGCAGAAACTCTGAGACAGTAACTTGTCCAGGGCTATTAGTAGATACCAGAGCTTGAATTAAAAACAGTTCTTTGAACTCCAGACGTGACATTTTTAAACATGTATTATGATACAGATTTATCAACAAAGCACTTTTTTTTTCTTTTTTAATTTATGAATAGATCCAAAGCTAGTTTTCGAGAAAAAATAATGTGGTTCTGGTAGCTTCCCTGAGAAAATAGGATATGCTCTGTCTCTGGCAAGAATAAAAATGAGGTTCCTAAAATTTCCCAACACTTTCAATTGTACCATCTGCATGTCTGAGATCTAAAACATATGTATTTTCCTCCCCTCAACAACACGGAAGACTGGCATTTTAGTATTTGTCAGTGTGATTTGATTGCAATTCAGCACTTGCCAGAAATTTGCTTGCAAAATCTGTTTAGGGAGAGAGAGAGAAAGGAAAAATGTGAAAAAAGATTTGTGGGCATTATATTTTCCTGTTCTTCTAGTGTTTCTAAGTTATTTGACTCTATTATATTAGGTGATCAGAAAATAATGTTCTTGATGGTGTGTGTGTGTGTGTGTGTGTGTGTGTGTGTGTTCATAGTTCCTTTAGAAATACCTTTATAAGAGTAACAAAGCAATATTGTTAGACTAACCTGTCATTTTACTAATTTCTAGGGCTGCTTTAATTAAACTTGTAGGAATCACAGCTGTTCCTTTCTTTTCTCATTGTTAAGGGTCTGCCTCATGAAATTCGATTTTTGAGAGAGGAAAACTTTCTAGCTTTCTATTTCGATTTAGAAGCTGGTTCTTCATAGAAGAATTTATGTGCCCTTTTCTGTTTGGAAGTGAGATCTCTTACTAAACTTTCTTTGCTTTTCTGCTTTGGTTACCAGAAAACTCATGATCAAATGAGTGTTCAATTTTACTGCTTAATTCATGCTAAGTACACATATTGTTCTTTAAAATATTACATTTAAAATTTTAATTGTCGCCTTGTGTTTTAATATTTTGTAAGTTATCTAATACATCCCCTCCCACATTTGTGTGTGCGTGTGTGTGTGCAATAGGCATAGAATTACTCTTGCTTAGTCCCTTCATAGACATGTACCTTCTCAGGTCAAGGAGCGCCTACAATTGTAGGGACAGACACTGCTTTCACTCTTTGGTACCAAGATCTGTGTACATTCCCTGACAGACACATAGCACCTCGTCATGGCCATTGGTTCACAGTGATTTTACCCTTTCAACATGGGGAGGGAAGAAATACTGCAAAACCCCTGCTGATAAAAACAGGTTGTTTGAAAGGAACAAAACACAGGCTTAAGGAACTCTGTGTCAGCAACTGAGGTAAAAAACCATATATTAGAACAAAATATGCTCCTAGTGCTCTTATCACTTAGAAAATCACAAGGGTTTTAGGAGCTCTGTGCCAGGTACCAGGGGCAGAGACCAACATATATATTTTTCTGTGATCACACAGGAGTCCAGGCATGTTTTTGTTGGATCCTGTTCTTAAGGTCTCACAAGGCTGAAATCAAGGTTTTGGCTAGGGTTTCAATCTCCTCTGGAGATTGGGGACCTCTCCTAAGTTCATTGGTTGATGGTTGAATTCAGTTCCTTATGGTTGTAGGATGGAGGTTCTCACTTTCTTGCTGTTGGCCAACTGGGATCCCTTCTCATATCCTAGATGCTGCCTGCCTGCTCTGTCACATGTCCTCTCTTTGTCATGGCAGTGTGCCCCCTGTGAGGCCAGCAGGAGAACCTCTCTCATCCTCTGAATCTCTTTTTCAGGAAAGGCCCAGTGACTTTCAAGATCTCGTCTGATTAGGCTGGGGCCATCTAAAATGGCTTCTCTTTTGATAAACTGCCAACTGATGAGTGACTTGAATTGCATCTGCAAAATCCCTTCTGCCATGTGATCTAATATAATCACAGGAATAATCCCTTCATAGTCACACTCAAGGGGAGGAGATTGTAACAGTGCATGTACAGTAGGACTCTTGGGGCCATCGTAGAATTCTCCTTATAAAAAATTTCTCACTGGTTAACCCACAACAGGTTTTCTCTCTATTCCATAAACACATTTGTGTTTAGAGCTTAAGGAATGTCACATCAGACTTTCTTAACTGTTATCCTCTGGGCCCTTTGGGAAAGTGGAGTATTGAAAAGAATGGAGTAAGAACATTTGGGAAGACCTCTCAGTGAAGTCAAGAGGAACAGGATAAAGCCAAGGGTTTCTGGGCCTTGTTTTCAGGATGGGACTGACAGCTTGAACCGATGGCAGAGCTTGTGTTAGACATTTGGCTGCCTATTAATTACACAGGTGAATACCTTCTTATTAGGTTTCGTCATTCCAAGTGGAATATACATTTGTTCTCTTTAGGACCTTTGGCAAATTAGATTTCTGAATTATTTTTAAAATTTAAATTAGTTTTTTTTAGGAAGAAGGAAGAGAAATTGTCATAGAATTTTTAATGGGAAAAGTAATTTCAGTACAGTGGGGCCTTGACTTACGAGTGTCCCAACTAACGAGTTTTTCGAGATACGAGCCGTCTCTCCGCTGATTTTTTGCTTTGAGTTGTGAGCTAAAATTCGGGTTACGAGCCAGCTTCAGATACTCCACTGCTAGTTGGTGCAGCGAACATCACAGTGAACACCACAACATCAGCCCAGCATCATTTGTCTCACTCGTTCTCTTTTTGATTTGACATACAAGTAATTTGAGTTATGAGCTCGGTCACGGAACAAATTAAACTTGTAAGTCAATGCCCCACTGTATTCTTTTGGGGAAGCACTTTTAAGCATGTTATTCATAGAGTCCTCATGATTATTACTTTAAATATGGACCTGAGTTAAGAGAAGATGTTTGTGTTTGAGATTCATGAGGCACAGGGAGTGTTCAATTTATTTGTAATATCATCAATTATGTATTAGATTAACATTTTGGTGATTCATTTGCTCACTTATTAACATAATGAATACAATTTTTCAAAGTGAGGTTTAATATTTTTAGTAAAGTAGGGGTGGTTAGGATGAGGCAGACCTTTTTGTCCTGGGTTAAGTGAAACACCTTCATTTTTATAACATAGCGAATTATTCCTTTTATAAAGAGATTGAACAAAATGCCACACTGTCTGTATTTGCCCAGAGAGCTTATCAGGATTGTGTGCTAAAAGATGTTTTGGCTGAAAGTAGCAATTAGAATAAAATCTCAGGAAACTTTTAGGGACTGAATTGGTTCCACGCTGCTACGAATTCATAAATGATCTAACTATGGAAATGAAAAAATGGTTATAAAGATTATTTCTCAATAAGAAACAATATGCATTCTTGATGCAACGTGATCAAGAATGTAGAAACCAGCTTGGATGTTATATATGGTAAACATGAAATAATAAACTTACGTTCTATCTTTTATTCTAAGTATCTATCAGTATAGAACCCACAATAAAAATATATACCTAGCTCACCATGAATTTATGAATCGCTGCACTTTATAAAAAATAAAATTCATCATTAAAATTTAGGAGAAAGAAAACATGTTCAACATCAGATCCTATGATATAATAATATTACTCAATACTTATGTTAAAAATGAAGTTGTAGTATGGTGGTTACCAGAGGAAAGGGAGTGAAAGAGGTAGGGAATAAAGTGGGCCAAATATTTGGTGACAGAAGATGATTTAACTTTGGGTGGTA